TTACTCTGCATTCCTCGTTTTTCAGCAATTTGATTATGATAAGCCTGGCTGTGGTTTTTGTTGTGTTTACCCTGCTTATGGTTCACTGAATCTGGATAAGTGGGTTTATGGTTTCCAACATATATGGAAGATCTGGGGTAATTATTTCTTCAGATATATTTCTGCTCCCTGCCCCAATCATTTTTCTGCACAACTTCAGTCACAGATGTTTAGACTGCCTGATTTTGTCCAGAAGTTTCTAAGGCTCTGTTACTTTTTTTTCAGTATTTTTTTGTTTTTGAGACAGACTCTTACTCTTTTGCCCAGGCTGGATTATAGGGATATGATCTTTGCTCACTTCAAGCTCCGCCCGCCCTGCCAGGGTTCAAGCAATTCTCCTGCCTTAGCCTCCCAAGTAGCTGAAATTACAGGTGCACACCACCGCATCCAGCTAATTTTTGTATTTTTGGTAGAGACAGGGTTTCCCCATGTTGGCCAGGCTGCTCTCAAACTCCTGACCTCAGGTGATCCACCCGCCTCAGCCTCCCTCCCTAAATGCTAGGATTACAGGTGTGAGCCACCGTGCCCAGCCTTAAGTATTTTTTATCTGTGTGCTTTAGCTTCTTTTGCTATCTTCAAATTCGCTGATGTTTTATTCTGTAGAATATAATGTGCTATGAATGCCATCATGTATTTTTTTCAGGTATCTTATTTTTAATCGTAGTAAATTCTAATGATTTTTATCTTTCATTTTTCTTCTTCCTGTGCTGGTGTTTTCCTTTAACAGTAGTTAAATATACTTTTAACTACTGTTGAATATACTTTTAGTAACTGTTTCAAAGCGCAGAGCTGATAATTCCACCATGTCTGTAATCTTCTAGGTTTGTTTCTGTTGATTGACTTTTTACTTGCTTATGAGTCACATTTTTGTGGTTCTTGACATGTCTGACAATTGGATATTCCACAATACAACCACCAGAATTTGTTTTTTGTTTTTTTGTTTTGTTTTTGAGACGGAGTTTCGCTCTTGTTACCCAGGCTGGAGTGCGAACTCGGCTCACCGCAACCTCGGCCTCCTGGGTTCAGGCAATTCTCCTGCCTCAGCCTCCTGAGTAGCTGGGATTACAGGCACACGTCACCATGCCCAGCTAATTTTTTGTATTTTTAGTAGACATGGGGTTTCACCATGTTGACCAGGATGGTCCCGATCTCTTGACCTCGTGATTATTCTGTTGTTTTGATATACTTGTTATTTATTTTAAAGTGCTAGACTTTATTTGTAGAAAAAACATAAGTTACTTTCTGATCAGTTACGCTGTTTTGAAGCTTATTTTTAAGTTTCATTAGGGTGGATTTGAATTTGCTTTATGCTGGAGCTAGTTTAGTCCTACTGTCAAGGCATGACTCCTCTGGTGTCACATGCCCTTGAATGTGCTTCAAGTATTCGACAAGGACTCTCTATTTTAGTTGGTTATCACTCAAATCTCTCTCCCAGGCCTGTGTAAATCCTGGAAAGTTAAGCTTATAGCTCTCTGTTTGTTTTCTGTCTGACCTCACAGGATTTTACCCTGTGCATATGTGGCTTAATAATATTCAGCAACAGATTCAAAGGCATATTTCTGAAGCACTTCTACATAGGTCCTTCTCTCTCATATCCTGCTCCCATACCTCCCAGCTGACTCAGCCTTCCCAAACTTCAATCTCTCTCTTCAGCTCAGCAATTCTGCCATGTCTGCTTGGTTCCCCAACCACCAGAGTCTAGAAAAAAAGCCAAGGTGATAATGGGGTTCACCTCAATTGTTTCCCTTCTGAGACCACAATCCTGTTGTACTTGTTGTCCACTGTCTGAAAACAACTGACACTAAGTCCAGTCATAGTTACTCTATCATGGTTGAGAGTAGAAATATACAGATCTTTCACAAATTAGAAAATTTAAACCACAAAATTTATATGGGTGAGCATAAAGACTGCAGGTGAGTTTTCTTTAAACTTATTCATTCTTAGGGCAGGTTTAAAGTAATGCTTAATTATTTGATGAATTAAAGAATTATTTATCAAGCTTGGAGATTAGTGTTCACAATTCTTCACATGGTTTTTATTTAAAGCAATCTGAATGCATTTCTTGCTATGAAAATCCAAGTACTCAAATAAACTGATCAGAGAAACTATTGTTTGTTATTAAATCATAGCACTCAATACCAGTGGCAGAGAATGCAAATTTGTTTTCCAACATTTGTTTTCTACATAAACCACCTATTTTTAGCTAAGTATATGCTGTCAGAAAAAAGGACTACATTCTTAGCTTCCTAAGTAGCTAGGTGTGGCTGTGTGACTAAGTAAGCAGGATGCAAACAAAAATGATATGTGCGGCTTTTCCCGTAAGTGTCTTTATAAAGAGACGTGTCTTTTTCTTTTTCTCTTCCTTTTGTACAAGCTCCAATAACCTCTGGGATCATTTGCCAAAGCTGAAAGCAGACACCATATACCTTGGAGCACTACTTCAGAACTTGCTGAATGTGATGAAAATATATATCTATCTTCTATACTGCTTATACCATCTTTGCAGCCAAATTTAATACTGAATTTTTTTAAAAGAGGCCATTAAAGCTTGATTTCATAAAAGAAATTTCAAGAAGACAAAAAAAATCTAGCTACTGCAAAGCAAACAAGCATATTAACAGTTAATAAGTATTTTGGTAAACAAAAGTACTAGAGGGCCAGGGGCCATGGCTCACACCTATAATCCCAACACTTTGGGAGGACAACCCAGAAGGCTTGAGCTCAGAAGTTTGAGGCCAGCCTGGGGAACATAGGGAGACCCTGACTCTATACGCTCACGGTCCCAGCTACTTGAGAGGCTGGGATGGGAGGATCTCTTGGGACTGGCAGGTCAAGGCTACAGTGAGCTATGATTATGTGATTACATCTATATACATATAATTCTTATTCTGTGTGTGTGTGTGTGTGTGTGTGTGTGTAAATACAAATTATTCAGTTTGTTAACAGTAGTTTCCTGCTTAGAAATATTATTAATCCATATCATCTTTGTTTGTAAATCAATTAGATTTCTTTAACAGTCAGCTTCATAATAAGATTTCAATAATTATATATACAATGGTTTCAAAAGAAAAGACTTCTGTATTTCTGAGAAAAAAATTTTAACATTAATCCATTTGTAGACAATTGAAGTACATTTTCTATAAGATGCGCAAAAATGGTAGCCATAAAGGGGAAAACATTAAATAGACTACATTAAAAAGAACAACTTCTGGCTGGGCACAGTGGCTCAGGCCTGCAATCCTAGCACTTTGGGAAGCCGAGGCAGGTGGATCATCTGAGGTCAGGAGTTTGAGACCAGCCTGGTCAGCATGGTGAAACTCCGTTTCTTCTAAAAATACAAAAAATTAGCCGGGCATGGTGGTCCCAGCTACTCAGGAGGCTGAAGCAGGAGAATCGCTTGAACCCAGGAGGCAGAGGTTGCAGTGAGCCGAGACCATGCCACTGCACTCCAGCCTGGACAACAGAGTGAGGGACTATCTCAAAAAAAAAAAAAAAAAAAAAACTTCTGTTAAACAAAAGCCATCATTAAGTATACATTCGTAAATTACAGTGTCAGAAGGCATCTGCATACATGCATAAGAGAATATATAAGTAAGTTAAAGAGAAAAAGGCAAACAACTCAATAGACAAATAGGCAAAAGATCTGAGTAGCCACCTCATTAAAAATATCCAAATGATCAGTGAGCATATGAAAATATAATCAATTGCATTAATATTTATGCAAACAAAAAAGTCACAATGTGCTATCAATACACGCTTACCAGAGCAAATAAAATTAAAAATATAAAATATCGGCTGGGCGTGGTGGCTCATACCTGTATTACCAGCTCTTTGGGAAGCCAAGGCAGGTGGATCACCTGAGGTCAGGAGTTCGAGACCAGCCTGGCCAACATGATGAAACCCTATCCCTACTAAAAATATTAAAATTAGCAAGGCATAATGGCACACGCCTATAATACCAGTTACTTGGGAGCCTGAGGCATGTGAATCAATTAAACCCAGGAGGTGGAGGGTGCAGTGAAACGAGATCATGCCACTGTATTCCAGCCTGAATCACAAACTGAGACTCTTGTCATTCATAAATAAATAAACAAAATATATGCACACACACACACAATCAAGTATTGGCAAAGTTCTGGAATAACTAAACTGACATAATTTCTGGTAAGAGTATAAAATCACTTTTGAAAATTAGTAGACTCTACTAAAGATAAGCACTGGCACATACGAAGACCCAACAGTTCCACTTCTAGACACATACTCAAGTAAAATGCATACACCTGTCCACAAAAAGATATGTCAAGAATATCTACAAATTTGGCTGGGCACAGTGGCTCATGCCTGTTATCCCAGCATGTTGGGTGGCCAGGGTGGGCAGATCACCTAAGATCAGGAGTTTGAGACCAGCCTGGCCAACATGGTAAAACCCCATCTCTACTAAAAATATAAAACGAGCCAGGCATGGTGGTACATGCCTTTAATCCCAGCTACTCAGGAGGCTGAGGCAGGAGAATCACTTGAACCTAGGAGGCGGAGGTTGCAGTGAGCCAAGATCATGCCATTAGACTCCAGAACAGGCAACAAGAGCAAAACTCTGTCCCCAACAAATAATTTAAAAAAGGGCAACAACATCCATATTCATGGGTTGGAAGACTTGAAATTGTTTAAATGTCCATAATATTCAAAGGAATCTACAGGATCAATGCAATCCCTATCAAAATCCCAATGGCATTTTTGCAGGAAAAATAAAAATCCTGACATTCATAAAGGACCCCAAATAGCCAAAACAATCTTGAGAAAAACAAAGCTGAAGGCCTCACAATTTCTAACTTCTATAAATTACAAAACTATAATAATTCCTAACTTCTATACAATTACGAAACAGTATGGTACTGACATAAAGACAAACATAAAACCAATGGAACAGACTAGAGAACCCAGAAATAAACTCTAGAACTTACACATTCAAATGGTCTTCAACTAAGGTGCCAAGGCAACATGATAGGATAAGAACAGTTTCTTCTATACTGTCTGGAATCCATTTCACAAAGTAAAAAAAAAAAGAAAAAAAAGAAAAAAGAATATTATTGTTTCTTCAACATGTGGTGTTGGAAAAACGTATATCCACATTTATAAAGAATGAAATCGAACTCTTACTTTACACCACATGAAAAAAAATAACTCAAAATGAATTGAAGGCCTAGACATAAAATTGTAACTAAATCTGGAAGAGACAAAGGGGAAAATCTTCATGACAGCGGATTTGGCAAAGGTTTCTTGGATATAATACCAAAGGCACAAGCAACAAAAGGAAACATAAACAAATGGGGCTAATATCAAACTCAAAACCCTCTGCACAAAGTTAAAAAGGCAACAAAATAAATGGGAGAAAAAAATTGTAAACCACATATGTGAAGCGGGGTAAATATTAAGAACATATAAAGAGCTACTACAACTCAACAAAAACAAAAACAACCCAATCAAAAAATGGGCAACTTAAAAGTCTGGGAATAGTGCTTATCACAGAGAAAATTTAAAAATTAGTAAAACAAAAAAAATAGTTAAAGGACTTGAATAGGCATTTCTCCAAAGAAGATAAATGAATAGCCAACAAGCATATGGAAAGATGTTCAGCATCACTAATCATCAGGGAAATACAAATCAAAATCACATATCGTCTCACATCTGTTAGGATGGCCATTATTTGAAAAAAATTAAAACCCAGAAAATAAGTATTGACAAGGACGTGGAAAAACTGAAACCCTTGTGTACTACTAGAGGGAATAATGGTGCAGCCACTATGAAACACGGTATGATGGTTCCTCAAAATAATAAAAAACAGAATTACCGTATGATCCAGCAATCTCACTTCTGGTATATCCAAAAGAATTAAAAACAGTATCTCAAACAGGTATCTGGACACCATATTCATTGTAGCGTTAATCACAATAGCTAAGAGGTAGAAGCAACCTAAATGCCCATGAACAGATGAATGTATAAATATAGTTTATACATACAATTATTCACCCTACAAAAAAGGGAAACCCTTTCATTTGCTGCAACACAAATGAACCTTGAGGACACTATCCTAAGTGAAATAAGTCAGTCACAAAAAAAAAAAAAAATACTGCATGATTCCATTTATATGAGGTATCTAAAATAGCCAAACTCTTGGAAATGGAAAAGAATGGGCTAGAAAGAGAAAAGGAAGAGTTGCTGTTCAATGGATAGAGTTTCAGTTTTATTAAGATGAAAAAATTCCAGAGATCTGTTGTACAACAATGTTCCTATAATTAACAATACTATACCGTATGCTCAAAAATGTACAAGATGGTAAATTTTGTATTTTCGACCAAAATGAAAGACAGAGTGCACACGAGAAAATGCAATGAAACACACAAAAAGGGAATATTCATAGCAACACTATGTATAAAATGAAAATAATTCAAATGTCCATGGGTATAATAAAATACTATATAGAAATGAGAAGAATCAGGCCGGGCGCGGTGGCTCAAGCCTGTAATCCCAGCACTTTGGGAGGCCGAGACGGGTGGATCACGAGGTGAAGAGATCGAGACCATCCTGCCTGGTCAACATGGTGAAACCCCGTCTCTACTAAAGATACAAAAAATTAGCTGGGCATAGTGGAGTGTGCCTGTAATCCCACCTACTCAGGAAGCTGAGGCAGGAGAATTGCCTGAACCCCAGAGGCAGAGGTTGCAGTGAGCCGAGATCCCGCCATTGCACTCCAGCCTGGGTAACAAGAGCGAAACTCCGCCTCAAAAAAAAGAAATGAGAAGAATGAAAGGGGCAATACACAACATGGGTTACTCTCAGAAGCATAATGTTGAATGAAAGAAGCCAGAGAGGAAGGATTATATACTATATTTATTGGCTTACTTATATAAAGTTTAAAAACATGAAAAACATATGACGTTAGAAGTCAGGCTAATGAATACACTTGGAAGGAGGAATGAATGAAAAAGGAAAGAATGACTCCTGGAAGTATTAGGAATGGTCTATTTCTTGCTCTGGATGCTGAGTATATGTATTTCATGATGCTATGATAATAGTAATAGCAACCAATTAGAGTACAAAAAGAAAGCAATGAAGAAGTATTTTATTAATATAGCTGTAAAAATTATAAACATACACAAAATACAGTATATATGTGGTTGAATGCATATGTGATTGAGTGTCCCCTTCAATATTTTTATCCTCCTTCCCTTGTAAAGTAATAGAACTCCCTAAATTATGATTAGATAAGGCACACTAGAATAAAGGCCAATTTCCTGGACCCTTCACCCTTACCCCACTGAAGTTGATGTATGAGTGTGACAAAGTTCTGGCTAACAGAATGAGAGAAAAGAGTGCAACTTCTCAATCTTGTCCCTATAAGGGACTTGGCCTCCACTTCTCATCTCTCACCCTTGGGCCATAATGATGAGCATTACACCCTAAGATGAATGAGAAAGTTCAGCTTCAACTGTCCTTGTTACCCTTCCTGTGGGTATGACGGAGAGAGAGTACTATTTTAAATCTTGAGAAGGTAGTGATGTTGAGGATAAAGCAACAACAAAAGAGAAAAAGTCTGGTCCCCAACACAATCAAGAAACTAAGTAAGCCCCTGACTACTTACCAAGACTTCAGAAGAACTTAGAAATAAATTTAAATCTGTATTTTCAGATCTGTATTATACTTCTATCAGCTATCTAACCGATATCTGAATTAATGTAGCATAACAAAATAATACCCCATGACCAAGTTGGTTTATTCCTGGCATGCAAAAATGAGTCAACAACATGAAATTGTACTTTACTACATCAAAAAAATTAATGGAGACCAAATCTCACAATTAAAGAAGCTCAAAAGATAACATTTATAGCCATTGATAATAAAAACTAAGTAAAATAGAAAAGAGAGGAAACGATTAAAGTATGATGAAAGATTATTATCAAAACCCAGCAAGGTACAGTGGCTCCTCCCAGCACTTCCGGAGGCCAAAGAAGGAGGACTGATTGAGCCCAGGAGTTTGAGACCAGCCTATGGGCAACTTAGTAAGGCCCCATCTCTAGAAAAAAAAATAAAAAATTAGCTGGGTGTGGTGGCACATGCCTGTAGTCCCAGCTACTTGGGAGGCTGCGGTGAGAGGACTGCCTGAACCCAGAAGGTTGGGGCTGCAGTGAGCCGTGTTTGTGCCACTGCACTCCAGGGTGGGCAACAGATCAAGACCCTGTGTCAAAAACAAAACACCCCAACAGCAAACATCATATTAAAAGATTAAATAAAGCCACCTCCATTGCAATTAAGAACAACATAAAGATAATCACAATTCCCACTGTTATTCAACTCCTTTATGGAGGTTCCAGTGAATACACAGCAAGTTAACAAAACAATTCCTATATTTATATACTTGAAATTATCTTTATTTGAAGACATTATCACTGAATAACTAAAAAATTCAGAAGACTAATAAAAAATTACTAAGATATTTTTAAAGTAGGTATACACAAAATAAATATTCAAAACTCAATAGGTCTTCTCTTTACTAGCAGCATCCAATTAAAAATGAAAATTTAAGTTTAGCTGTATATAATAACATTTGAAGTAATAGTTACTTAAAAAGTTGACCTCAGCAAGGCTCAGTGGCTCATGCCTGTAATCCCAGCACTTTGGGAGGCCAAGGCGGGTGGATCACTTGAGATCAGGAGTTCAAGACCACCCTGGCCAACATGTTGAAACCTGTCAATGCTAAAAATAAAAAATTAGCTGGGCATGGTGGCTGGTGCCTATAATCCCAGGTACTCTGAGGCCAAGGCAGGAGAATCTCTTGAACCCTGGAGGCAGTAGTTGCAGTAAGCAGAGACCACGCAACTGCACTCCAGCCTGGACGAGACAGAGCAAGACTCGGTCTCAAAAGGAAAAAAAAAAAAGAAGAAGAAATTAATCTCTTGCTTACATAAAAAGTCTAAATGTAAGAATTCCAGATCTGGAATGGTGACAAAGTTATCAGGCTTTAGCTGTCTCTGTTATAGATGCCTGCTGTTCCCATCATCATCTAAGAAGCTGGACAACACAGGCAATAAAATTGCAATGTGGTGGGGGGCGTAGGGAGGGCGGGGAGGAAAAATAGTGTAGCCATGCAGAGACGCCCTAAAAGTCTCATGTTATACTTCCACTTATATCTTGTCAAGACTTAATTACATGCTAAGGAAGAACAGAAGAGCAGTAGTTTCATCTGGGTAGCAATGTGTCAGATAAAAATTAGGGTTCTGTTGGTAAAGAAAAGGAAAGAATAGCACTGGGGTACACAATAAACAATCTCTGCCATTAATTCTTAAGATTAATTTTAAAAGAAAAGGATATGATTTATATGGAAAAGTGTGGAACTTTTTCATAATTGTCAATGGACATAAAATACAACCTAATCTTTGGCTAGAGTCACAGAGAAATAGTAAATAAATAAATAAAAATAAAATAGAACCTAAAAACATGGAATTATAGGTCATATTCCCAAATGGAAAGATAATACTAGAAAAAGATCAACGTTTCACATTCGCATATAACTCTAACATAATTCTTATCGGAATCCCTAAGATACTGTGCGTAAAGGTTAGGGGAAGAAGGATTGTTTTAGAACTAGATCAAGCTTGTGCAACGTGCAGCCTATGGGCCACATGCAGCCCAGGACAGCCCAACAAAAATTCGTAATCTTTCTTAAAATGTTGAGATTTTTTTTGCAATGTTTATTTAGTTCATCAGCTATCGTTAATGTTAGTATATTTTATGTGTGGCCCAAGAGAATTCTTCTCCCAGTATGGCTCAGGGAAGCAAAAAGATTGGATATCCTGAACTAGATGAAATAATTTAAAGTTCGCATGGAAGAAGACATGCCCACATTAAGCTAAGATAATTTTTTAAAACAACACCTAAATAGAATTTTAGTGTTAGGTGATAGAATCAGGTGTTAATTTTTCAATAACAACACTTACACAGAATGACTGTTAAGTCCTAGTTCGCCTGAGGCTGTCACAGTTTGGTACCATTGTTCTAGTATCCTGTATGCTCTAACACCTTCATTTTTAACAAGAATTATTATTAATAGTTACATTAAAATAAGCTAGAATGAGCTTAGTAGATCCAATTTTTTTATTATATCTCTGTATCTGTTCACTTTTCCAAACGTCTATGTTCCCATGGTCCCAAACCACATATAAAGCTCCTGGTCTGGAAAGGGAGGTCCATTCATCCCCAACTCCCTACAACTTCAATAACATTTGGGTAAAGAAATCCTTCCTTCTCTGAAACTCTCCATGCCCACAGCTTCAGCTGTCACCTGTGTATGACACTGTCAAATTTCTTTTGTGATTCTGAGACCAGGGACCCACTGCCTATCTGACATTTCCATTTGGATGTTCCACAGGAATCTCAAATTCAGTGTATACAAATCTGAACCTGCTGTGTTGTCCACTTCTATTCTTCCTACATTCTAATAGAAATGAATGGCACACCCATTCATTACCATTCATCTATCTAGTTATCCAAGTCCAAAACCTGGAAATCAATAATTGAAATCCCTTATTCAAACATTCAATTAATCATCAATTACTATCAATTTTATCTTCTATAAGTTAGTTATTCAGTTTTCTTCATCACACTACCACTGCCACAGTGCCAGCTACCATCCTTTACAGGATTACATCAATATTTTTCACTGCTCACTCTTTCCGGTACTGTATTCCTTAAATTCACCTTACAGCCACTAAATTTCAAGAACATTTATTTTTAAAATCATGTGGTACCACCTTATGGTAGGTAAATTACTTCAATTTTTAAAATGTATTGTCTTATACTTTAATGCTTCTATTCTACATCCTCCATCATCAACCAACACTTTTTTTTTTTTTGAGGCGGAGTCTTGTTCTGTCACTCAGACTGGAATGCAATGGCATCTCTCGGCTCACTGCAACCTTTGCCTCCTGAGTTCAAGCAATTCTCCCTGCCTCCTAAGTAGCTGGATTACAGATGCCTGCCATCACACCTGGCTAATTTTTGTATTTTTAGTAGAGACAGGGTTTCGCCGTATTGGTCAGGCTGGTCTTGAACTCCTAACCTCAGGTGATCAGCCCACCTAGTCCTCCCAAAGTGCTGGGATTATAGGCTTGAGGTGCCACGCCCAGCCTCAACAAAAGTTTTATATCTAGCTCTTTTACTCACTAATTCTGGGTCACCAACTTTTTGATAATATTTTTATCAAAGCTGTGTAACACAAAGAACATCAATAAAAAAAAAAGAATCATCAAATTAGATCCAAATGAATCTGTAAAACTTGAGAGGTATAATTAGTGATTTCATCTATGTAAACAGTATATAGTACTTTACTGCAACAAATTTATAAGATGAATGACTTTGACATGATGTAAGATGAACAAAATAAGAACACTGTAAAAAAATTTTGAAACCCATGGAAAGAAAATAGTAAAAAAAAAAAAAAAAACTCACCATACACACCTGTAGAAGGAGTAGAACTGTTCATGGTAAAAAGTCCGTTAATGATGCCAGAAGAAAGAAGGTCGTCAGATCCCCGCTGAAAAGCAAAACCATCGTTTGGTTAATAAACCAAGTTTTAGATAATGCATATTTACTACTATAAGTATTAAATATTACTTCATCTTTGTATGAAGATATTAAAGGGAGAACTCCTCAAGAATCACAAAATCAAAAGGTTGGAAATAAACTGCAGAGCAAGGAAAAACTGCTGCAAATCTACAACTGTATTGTTAGCTATTAAAAAAAAAAACACAACTGCCACCACAGAAATGGGGCATAATCTTGAAATTCTTTCTAACCAAACCCAGTTTTCCAAAACGTAACATCTGAAGTGCCAAACCATATTCAGGAGGTTGTATTACGACATTGTTTTTGTAGTATATATTTATATGGAAATAGTTTGTATAGCTCCTCCCTAAGAATTCTGACTTTTCAATATCAATGTATTTTTTTAAGTAGATACAATTTATTTCCATATTGGCCAAATTCTTTATAATCAATAACTTTTTATCCATTAATCCTCATAATGATCTTTAATGCAGACTATTTCTTAAACAATTGTTTAACTAATTTATTCTTTTTTTCAAGTAAGAGTTTGATCAAATTCCAAATCTGAACTGGCAACACTAAAAAGTAAGTCAGAGAAGTCTTTTTACTGCAACCTAAGATCTATTAGCAACATTTAAAAGATTACTTTTAGAAAGGACAATAAATACTGTGTACCAAGTTAAAACCAAACTATTTTAAATAGCACTATTTGTTTAGCTTCGTCAATTTTTAATAACAAGTGTTTTGATAATAAAAATCCCCAAACAATCCTACAAATATTAGAAAAGCAACAGTGCTACAGCACATATTTAATGTTTAGGTGAAGGTGCCACTTCTGTAGGGAACAACTTCAGCCTTTGCTGAAGAAAAGACAAACCACCAATATATCTACACAATAGAAATACAATTATTTAAACAAGTCCCGTATTAAACATCCAGAAATTACTCCCTTTGGATCTTTCACTGGAAGTTTATAGAGACATCCCAGAACAAGAAGAAGGAATGAAGTAATCAACATAAAAGAAAACTGAAAATCAGGATTAAGGCCTCACTTAAAGAATAGGTCTTCCTAATAATATCTGAAATGTAGATATTATCAGGCTACATATAATAACTAACAAACTTTGTGGTTTGCTGGCTACCTGCATATAGAGAAAGACACAATTTCGCAGCTTTACGTGTATTGATAGTAAAAATTTAAACTAACATGATTTTTATATATGAGGAATTTGGTTAAATGCATTACTAATAGATCTTCCACACATATGAGTTAGCATCAATATGTTTCTACCTATAAATCAAGTTAATACAATCTTAGAAACCATTTTAAGGTCACTTTAGTTCCTTCTAGACTTGCAGAAATGTATTTTTTTCAAGAATAACAAAAACAACTATAAAGCAAAAATACTGATAAGCTAGATAACATTAAATTTAACAATTTAACAAAATACATCATTAGGAGAAAAAGAGACAAGTCATGGAACAAAAAGATATTGCGATACATAAAACCAACAAAGGGTTTACATCCAGAACTCACTAAGAAAAAGAAAAAAGGAAAAACAAAACACTAGCAATCAGTAAGGAAAAGCCAAGATAACAGAAAAATGACAAGAGACTTTAACAGGCATCTCACAAAGTGGTGGACTATATTACCGTTTCAGAGTATTTGTACCCTCTCCTGTTCCTGAAAAAATAATCATTCATCCTCATCCATGGCCATGTGACTTACAAAGCCTCCAGTGGGAGGAGTATAACTCCCTCCTCCATTGACAATGAGCACAGTTTTGTAATATCCTTTGGCCAATGGAACATGAATGGATATGACCTACACTTAATCCAAACAGTAACTTCAAAACTATCAGTCATTTCCGCCAATTTTTTCTTTCTCTCTGAAATAAGAGCACATCTCAAATAGGAGCTACTGTTTCAGCCTGATTCCCAGAATAACAAGTATAGCTCCATAACAGCTACCACCATTGTAAGTGAATAAGAATTAAATGTTTTCTTAAACCACATATAAATGACTAACACCATATCCAATCAACATAAGAAAAGATATCTGACCACATCCTCTTCGGTCATCAGGGAGATGCAAGTTAAAACCACAATAAAATACTATAATATTAAAAAGACTGACAATATCACATTAGTAATAGCGTGGAGTAACGAAAACTCTTACATGGGAGTTAAGTAAGTACAATTTAGTGGGAATGTAAACTGGTACCACTTGGAAAACTGATCCAATCTACTAAAGTCAAATATATGAATATTCTAGAACCCCTATATAGTCTACTCCGATACGTATCCCCCAAGATATTGACTGCTTGTGTGCACCTAGACATAAGATTGTCTTCAGCAGCATTATCTGCACTAGCCAAATTGGAAATAACTAAATGCCATCAACTCTAGAATATCTGAGTTAATTTTTGTAAATGCATGCAATGATTATACAAGGAGAATGAACTACTGCTCCACAGAACAAAGATAAGTCTCACAAACCTAAAAAGTCACTCAAAAAATACACATTGTATTGCTGCATTTATATGGGATACAAAAAGCTGGACACGGTGGCTAACACCTGCATTCCCAGCACTTGGAGAGGCCAAAAAGGGAGGATCACTTGCAGTCAAGAGTTCAAGACCAACCTGGGCAACACAGGAAGAACTCATCTCTAAGTAAATAAAAATAAACAAAAAAAAAAAATGGGTTATCAAAAACAAAAGCACAAATGACAAAATAAAATAAATAGAACTTGTCAAATATAAAAACGTTTGTACTTCAAAGAACACCATCAAGAGAATAAAAAGACAACATGGAAAATGGAAGAAAGTATTTGCAAATCACATAGCTCACAAGAAACTGGTACCTAGAACATGTAAGGATCCTTACAACTCAACAACAAAAGACAAATAACCCATGGATTTGAAAAAATTATTTCTCCAAAGAAGGCCAACAAGCCAGATGCAGTGGCAGGTACCTATAGTCCCAGCTACTCGGGAGGCTGAGGTAGGAAGATCGCTTGAGCCCAGGAGCTCTGGGCTGTAGTGTGCTATGCCAATTGGGTGTCCACACTAAGTTCAGCATCAATATAGTGACCTCCTGGGAGCGGGGGACCACCAGGTTGCCTAAGGAGGGGTGAACCGGCCCAGGTCGGAAATGGAGCAGGTCAAAACTCCCATGCTGATCAGTAGTGGGACTGCGCCTGTAAACAGCCACTGCACTCCAGCCTGGGCAACATAGCAAGACCCCGTGTTAAAAAGAAAAAAAAAATTAAAAAAAAAAAACAAAAGAAGGCCAATAAGCACATGAAAAGATACTGAACCTAATTTACTCATTTAAAAATGCAAATTAAAAGTCACTTCAAGGAAAAGTTAAGACCATGATACTACCACTTAACTATCAGAACCCCTAAAATAAAAAGTTATAGTATAAAATGTAGACCTGATGTGGTAACAATGGATCTCTCATACATTGCTGGTAGCAATGTAAAATGGTAAAGACTCTGGAAAGTAGTTTGGTTATTTCTTAAAAAACTAAACATACACTTAGTAACCTCAAAAGATAATATGCTCGAAGATTTCACCAACAGTATTATCAAAATGACAAAAATTATAGAGATGGAAAACAGATTAGTGGTTGCCAGGAGGTAGAGATGATTGGGCGGAGGTGGTGGAGGTGGTAGGTATGATTATAAATGGTACCATAAGGAGATCTTTGTGGTGATTAGTTCTACATCTTGACTGTGATGGTAGTTACAGGAATCTAAATATGCAATAAAATCAAATAGAACTATATACAGGCACTGTGCCAATACTAATGTTCCTGTTTTGATGGTGTACTATAATTATATAAGATGTAACCACTGGAGGAAACTTTGTGAGGGGAACACAAGACCTTTCTATAGTATCTTTACAACTTGCCATGCATCTCTAATTGTTTCAAAAGTTTAATAAAATTAAAAAATAAAATATAGGACAACAGATACTTCATACTGAGCCAAAGGATTCCTACTGGCTTGAGAGTCTTGCTATCTTAGAAAAGCCATCACTAACACCTGTGTTCAACCTTGCCACAGCCCACTGTCACAGCTTATCCTCAACACTATGCTTCTGTACAATGGTGGTCCAGAAGGCCTCCCTTCAAAAATAAGCATAACAAAAAGAAAGAAACATTACAAAAGGCAGATAACATACACCAGAAACTATACAAATTTAAACTGACAGCAAATAACTTTTTGTAAAATGAAGAAAAAAAATTGACCTAATAGCCTCTCTTAAACAAAACTATAAAGGGATACAACAGCTCCAGGGAAAGGCAAATAAGAAATCTACCAAAAGAGTTAAAAAAAAAATTGGTGAGAAAAAATAAGGCAGTATCTTGAAAGTCAAACATTTCCAAGAGAAAAACTGAGAAGTCAAAAGCACAAACACCTTTCCATCATCCAAACAAGTTACCTGCTGTGAGAAACCAACTCTTTCTATATTTTTGACATTAAAAAAAAAAAAAAAAAAAAACTAGCAAGAAGAAAGCACTTTCTTTTAAACACTTGAGATTACCAGAAAGGCAACTAGAGGAGGTGTTAAGCTGTTAACACAGGCCCCAAAGAATCCCAAAAGTTGACTATATTCTTATTTTTTTGAGACAAGGTTTTGTTCTGTCACCCAGGCTAGAGTGCACTGGCACGATCTCAGCTAACTGCAACCTCCACCTCCTGGGTTCAAGTGATTCTCATGTCTCAGCCTCCTGAGCAGTTGGGATTACAGGTGTCCACCATGACGCCCAGCTAGTTTTTGTATTTTATTAGAGATGGAGTTTTACCATATTGGTCAGGCTGGTCTCAAACTCCTGACCTCTAGTGATCTGTCCACCTTGGCCTCCCAAAGTGCTGGGATTACAGGCGTGAGCCACCATGACTGACTAAGAATATAGCCTGACTATATTCTTCTTAATGCACACATGCCATTTCAGTTTCAATTTGGCAAGAGAAGTTACTTTTTTTTTTTTTTTTTTGCCAATCAGTTTGAGCTTATGAGGTTGCTCAGGTTAGCCTTGAACTGATGACCTCGCCTTCGCGAGCGCCATGACCTCCGGCGGGAGCCACTTTGGACCCCTTTTTTTTTTCTATTTTTATCTCATTCAATAAACTGTTACCTAGTTTCCTACCAAATAAATTTCCAATCAACTATTAATGTGAAATCGTTCCCTGTTGGTTACTGAAGGTCCTGTGATGGCAATGAAAAACTCTTTCTAATCTGGATCTCTTCTCACAATACTACTGCCCTGTCATGTAATTTTCTCCAAACAAATCATATTTACTTTGCATCTTTTTATGATATTCTCCTTCTTCAAGCACTATTCCTTTGCTACATATCCAATCCTATCTACTAGTCACAGGTAAAATGGCACCACACCCTTGAGAATTTTTCTACCCTGAGTGAAAGGGTTCAACTTCATTTTTATCATCATTTAACATTAAAATGTGTAAGGTTCTAGAATTTAGTTCAGCTCACATAATATATTCTTCCTGTAACTGTCAATATCATAATTTTGTCAAATATGTACACAAAGTTAGTTCTCAGCTACCTTAAGGTCTATTATTTGTGCCTTATACTAGATTATATCCCTTGAGAGCCTACAGCAGAGTATGAGGTACAAGATACTAGCGCTCTGTCTTGGCTACTCAATACAACTGCATGGGCAGCTTAAAGATAAATACTACAGGTAGGGCGTGGTGGCTCACACCTGTAATCCCAGCACTTTTGAGAGGCCAAAGCAGGCAGATCACCTGAAGTCGGGAGTTCAAGACCAGCCTGGCCAACACAGTGAAAACCTGTTTCTACTAAGATTCAAAACTCAGCCGGGTATGCTGATGCATGCCTGTAATCCCAGCTACTTGGGAGGCTGAGGCACAAGAATCACCCAGGAGGCAGAGGTTGCAGTGAGCCAAGATTACACCACTGCACTCCAGCCTGGGCAACAGGGTGAGACTCTGTCTTGAAGGGAAAAAAAAGTATCCATTTTTAGTACCAAAATCCATATCTTTATATAAAATTGTTCAGGACACTTATTAAAATCTCATTTATGGTTAACGTTTGGGGAAAAGAATAAAGCATGTATCTGTCTATGCATTTGAATTTTTCCTGAAGAACGCTGTGATGAGATTTGTTTAGAGAAAAAAAGCAAAACTTTTCATTGTAACCACCTTATTTAAGCATCTTTGCCTACTTATCCAGTTATCTCAGAATAAATCTATAAGTGTCAAATAACTGGATCATATTCCATTTTGATAAGTCATTCATCTTAATATGTATTTAACAAGTTATAATATAAATCTGTGCTCCAATCCATTATCCTTTTAACTGATAAGCTTTTTCCATGTTGTTAGTCTGTCACTATTTGTTTATTTTTGTGAGACAGGGTCTTGTTCTGTTGCTCAGGCTGGAGTGCAGTGGCATGATCATAGCTCACTGCAGCTTCAATGTTCCAAGTCAAGCCACCCTCCCACCTCCGCCTCCCATGTAGCTAGAACTAGAAACATGCATCACTTTGCCCAGCTGATTTTTTAATTTTCGTAGAGACAAAAAATCATTTATTACATTTTACTCTACTGATCAATCATTTATTTTTTAGTTTGTGTTGACTCTTGCCATTTTGCCTAGGCTGCATCACCATTATTTTCAGATTATTAAAATTCTGTAACAACATCCTTAACTATTCCCCTATTTTAAATTACAGTGTTTCATCCAATTTACTGATATAAATTATGCTGCAGTAATTCTTCAATACTGCATTTTTTCAGGATAAATATTCAGAAGTGAAAGACAACTTTTCTTTTTTGAGGAAAAGATAAAACTATAAGAAATCTCAAATTCCTATAGAAAAATGTAACTTCAGTTTACTACTGCACTACAAGCGACAACTAAGAAGCATTTTTATTTCTACAGGAGTCTTTCAAACACTGTTAAAATTAGCAAATGACTGTCTCGTTTTAACATGGCTCACAGTTTGGATAGTCAAAAATTTACCTTGTCCAAAGGAAGGTGTGGCTTTTGCCCTTTCCTTCTTGGAGGTAATCTCTAAGTCCTTGAAATATCATGCCTCAGAGGACACTATTTTTTTTTTTTTTCCTTCAAGACAGAGTCTCACTCTACCGCCCAGGCTGGAGTGCAGTAGTGTAATCTCAGCTCACTGCAACCTCCGCCTCCCAGGTTCAAGTGATTTTTGTGCCTCAGCCTCCCGAGTAGGACTATTTTTTTTTTCCGCCTGGGGCCTTGGGTCATCAGACAGTGCAGGGTAAGGAATAGCCATGCCAGAAAGAACAATAATGTGATTTAGGGTAGGGACTTTGGGTCACACCTGAAGGGGCTGGAAACTAGACTGAAATCAGACTCATGAACAATAAATTATTCATGCCTACATAACAGAGTTCCAATAAAAACTGTAAACACCAAGGCTCCAGCGACTTTCCCTGGTTGATAATACTCCATGCCTACTGCCGCGCACTAATGCTTGGAAAGTAATGTGTCCATGGAGGGGGAATAACAGTACTTCCCAGGACTCTGCCTTAGGCATTTCTTCCCTAGGCTGATTTTAATCTATGTCCTTTCCCTGCAGCAAACCATGCTGTGAGCATAAGAGCGTTCAGTGACTTCTGTGAGTCTTTCTAGCAAATTATTGAATGTGTGGGTAGCTTCAGGAATCCCCGAACTTGCAAGTAGTATCAGATGTAAGGGATCTTGCCTCATAACATCACAGTTGGCCTATTGCTTCACATGGCTAAATTATGAATCAGCAGAGTAGATATAACAAAACTACTGATTTGCTTAATATTTTTTTAAACTTTTTTTTTGAGACAGGGTTTCACTCTGTTGCCTAGGCTGAAGTGCAGTGGTATGATCATGGCTCACTGCAGCCTCAACCTCCCAAGCTCAACCGATCCTCCCACTTCAGCCTCCTGTGTAGCAGGGACCACAGATGCACGCCACCATTGCCTAGCTAATTTTTGTAGAGATAGAGTTTCACCATGTTGCCCAAGCTGGTCTACTGGGCTCAAGCTATTTGCCCACCTTGACCTTCCAAAGTGCTGGGATTAACTTCAGCAACAAAAACTATTCTTAACCTTTGAATTACCATTGGACTTCCAACTGTAAAGAAAAACAGTAGTCTGAAAATGTGATCAAATATTCAAGTACAGAAAAACCAGAAAATTGAGTTAAATTTGTATATCTTCAGTTTTTGTGTGTGTGTCACTGAGTCTTGCTCTGTCACCCAGGATGGAGTGCGGTGGCGCTATTAGGTTCACTATAACCTCTGCCTCCTGGGTTCAAGTGATTCTCCGGCCTTAGCCTCCCAAGTAGCTGGGATTACTGGCACACACCAGCATGCCCGGCTACTTTTTCTATTTTTAGTAGAGACGGGGTTTTGCCATGTAGGCCAGGCTGCTCTTGAACTCCTGACCTCAAGTGATCCACCCACCTTGTCCTCCCAAAGTGCTAGCCACATCTGTACGTCTTAAATTAATTCAACATCTTAACTGTCACATTCAAAATATAAACTCTATTTAGAAGGATATGGTGAAAGTTGCAAAGTCTTCAAAATAAACAATTACATTTGATAATTCTACTTCAAATCTATTTCAATGATTAACAGAAAGAGCTTTTCGAAAAGAATAAAACACACCCAAAATAACACATAAAGGGGACCCTAGTGTCAACTGAAGTGTTGCAATAGCTATCTTTATTGTCTTGTTACACATCAAGGACAATTAAAATGTAAAGCTCTTTGCCAGGCGCAGTGGCTTACACCTGTAATCCCTTGGGAGGCCAAGGTGGGGGGGATCACTTGAGCTCAGGAGCTCGGAACCAGCCTAGGCAACAGAAGGAGATCCTGCCTCTACCAAAAACACACACACACAAAAAAATCAGCCAGGCATGGTGGCATGCATCTGTAGTCCCATCTACTTGGGGGGCTGAGGTGGGAGGATCGATTGAGCCCAGGAGGCAGAGGCTCAGTGAGCCAAGATCATGCCACTGCATACCAGCCTGGGTGACAAAGAGAGACCCTGTCTCAAATTAAAAAATAAAAAAGATAAATAAGATCATAAAGTTTCATTTCTGGCCATGTTTTATCATTCTTCACATAGAATCAACAAGATGTTTCCCAAGTAGTTATGACACTTCTAAAAACTAGCAACTTTCTCCCCCTAATAATTTCAGAATATGACGAAAGACAAAGAGAACAGAAGAAACTTACATTTGAAAATGTAGTCATAAAAAATAATTCTGGCAGGGAGCGGTGGTTCACGCCTGTAATCCCAGCACTTTGGGAGGCCAAGGTGGGTGGATCACGAGGTCAAGAGATCGAGACCATCCTGGTCAACACGGTAAAACCCCGTCTCTACTAAAAATACAAAAAATTAGTTGAGCGTGGTGGCACATGCCTGTAATCCCAGCTACTCGGGAGGCTGAGGCAGGAGAATTGCCTGAACCCAGGAGGCAGAGGTTGCAGTGAGCTGAGTTAGCACCATTGCACTCCAGCCTGGGTAACAAGAGTGAAACTCCGACCCCCCACAAAAAAAATAAATAAATAAATAAAAATAATAATAATTCTGATAACCAGAATTTTCTAGCCAAGTTTTTTCCCAAAAACTCATTTTCAAATTACAGAAAACAAAGGCTTTTTTGATATTATAAAACCTAGATCAAGAGTCATATTACTTCGTAAAACACTGTAAAAGATGATAAAAACAGAGTTATTAGTTCTGTATTATTACTTTGAACCCACCTTGTCCAACATGTAGCCCATGGACCACATGCAGCACAGGATGGCTCTGAATGACACCCAACGCAAATTCGTAAACTTTCTTAAAACACTGTAAGATTTTTTGGTGTTTTTGTTGTCGTCGTTGTTAGCTCATCAGCTATCGTTAGTGTTAGTGTATGCTATGTGTGGCATAAGACAATTCTAATGTAGTCCAGGGAAGCCTTGCTTTAAATATTCCCTTTTTCTGAGACAGGGTATTGCTCCATCACCCAGGATGGCATACAATGGCATAATCAGGGGTCAATTAATCTTCCCGCCCTTGGTCTCCTGAGTAGCTAGGACTAGAGGCACGGACCACTGTGCCCAGCTAATTTTTTTTTTCATTTTTTTGTAGGGGTGTGGTCTCACTATGTTGCCTAGGCTGGTCTCAAACTCCTGGGCTCAAGTGATCCTCCTGCAGGCCTCCCAAAGACCTGGAATTATAGGCCTGAGCCATGGCACCTGGCCAACTTTAAACTTATTCCTTTTAATTTAAAAACACAAAACAAAACATTTCTTTCCTAGACATAAATTATTTCTCTTGAAAACATATCACTGCATTTAATTACAGACTACTTCAGTATAAAATGAAAAGTATTTCTCAAAAATTATACTTAGTATTTACATCCTAAGTGTCTCAAAAGCAATTTTTCATAAGGTTTGACTGCTATGATAATAGATTATGGTTTAAGGGAAGAATGGAAGATAATCAAGCAGAATGAAGACATTTTTAAAAGGAAAGAAAACCTGGATGAGTGAATGCAGATGACCAAAAGAAAAAAAGACTGTACAACAGGTGAACAAATAAAGGTATACAAAAGAAGGCTTTAACAAGCCAAATGTGAAGACATGGGAGAGTGGCGGGGGGGGGGGGGGGGGGCGGCAGATGCTGGCTGCAAACACCACCAGATTGACAGTCTCCTTAGAAACACACAGCAAATGTACATAAGTCCAGCAGTTGCTCTGTGAACTTCTCAGTTCTTTGGTTAAGACAACAAACCAATCAACTTTACTGCCTCAAGTATCAATTACTGAAGCTCTCGTCTGCTGAAGCATAATTCAGGGGGCAAATAAAGCAAAGAAATACTGTAATAAAGCAGCACAAATAAGTGTTTCATCATCAAATCTGATAGGAATTGGTTTTATTTAGCATTAAAGTAAAGCTTATGAAGTACTATGTACAGAAGATTCTGAAAATAAACCATTAATTCATAGTTAAACCTTATATGATACCTCAAATGCATATGAAATTCAAGAATAAGATTGTTTTAATCTATCAAGATACTATATGACCACAAAAGAGGCTATCAAAAAACTACTTCATAATTTTCCAGAATCCTAGAACTTTTTAAAATTAACAGAATCTTAAATACTGGAATTTTTTTTTTTTTTTTGAGACAGAGTTTCACTCTTGTTACCCAGGCTGGAGTGCAATGGCGCGATCTCGGATCACTGCAACCTCCACCTCCTGGGTTCAGGCAATTCTCCTGCCTCAGCCTCTCAAGTAGCTGGGATTACAGGCACGCACCACCGTGCCCAGCTAATTTTTTGTGTTTTTAGTAGAGACGGGGTTTCACCATGTTGACCAGGATGGTCTCGATCTCTTGACCTCATGATCCACCCACCTCAGCCTCCCAAAGTGCTGGGATTACAGGCTTGAGCCACCGCGTCCAGCTTAAATACTGAAATTAATATCCAAGTCCTACCTTTTTCTAACGGATAGTCTAGTGATCCCATGTGAATACTTTCCAGAATAGAAAACTTGTGTTGGCTCTGCTCTTTTTCCAAAAACAGAAATAAAAGTGATATTTATATGAAGTCCCACTCAGGAGAACCTAAGTATGCATGGATTTTGGCCCACCACAGATATTGAGGGACAACTGTACTCTGAAACAGATTTGCTATACTATCTATACACACTTATTGATTATGGTCTCCTGATTATTTACCTTTACATACTCCTCCACAGAACATACTACAATGTTTCATATGTAATCAATGTTCAATCCTTTTTTTCTTAAAAAAAAAAAAGTGAGTAATAGGCCAGGCATGGTAGCTCACACCTGTAATCTCAGCATTTTGGGAGGCCAAGGCAGGTGAAGTGCCTGAGGTCAGGAGTTTGAGACCAGTCTGGCCAATATGGTAAAACCCCGTCTCTACTAAAAATACAAAAATATTATCCAGGTGTACTGGTGGGTGCCTGTAATCCCAGCTACTTGGGAAGCTGAGGCAGGGGAATTGCTTAAACCCGGGAGGTGAAGATTGCAGTCAACCAAGATCGCATGACTGTACTCCAGCCTGGACGACTGTGAGACTCCGTCTCAAAAAAAAAAAAAGAAATAATAACTATCGAGATAAGGGAATAAACAGAATATTCAAATGGGGTTTCGGATTGTGTGAAACTCCAAGGGTTTTGTTTTAAACATTTAATTAAGCCTTTTAACATTCACCCTTTCGTAGTCTCCTGTAACTCTAAACACATCTAAACCCAAAGACATCTTCTATTGGTAACTCTACTAACTAACCCTTTAGACTGAGATCATCCCCTCACACACACTGTGGCCTCATCAACATCCTTTATCTACTGTGATTATCCCTAAACAACATTCTCTAAAGAATAGTTACCAAATTGTTTATTTGTGACATTTTCCATTCCACGGTTGCCACTGTTGAGATTCTAGGGCAGTGGGAATAAAAAAGGTAGTTAAAGGTAGAGGAAATTCTTTAAATGAGCAGCTGTGGCAATGTTTAAAAACTACTCTGTTTGGACAATTTTCAATAAAAGAATTCTGACTGCCTTCATTTTATACGGACATCTTAGCAACAAAATATCAACACCTTTTTTGAAGGCAGCACAATGAAATACTTTAATGACTGCAAGTAATTCCTCTAAAAAGCCTTCTAATAACATCCAATCAAAATGCCATTCATTTTACTCAGTTCCTACTATGTAGGTATAACTCATACACATTGAATTCAGTGTGTATAAATGTGTTAGCAATAATATTCATTCATTCAACAAATTCAAAAAATATTTACTGAAATATGTCAGGCCTTTAACCACTGGGGAAAATTAGGGAACAAACAAAAATCCCTGCCCTTATCTTAATGGAGCTTACAATCTTGCACAAAGAAACATGATAATCAAAATAAGTAAATTATGTATTATATCTTGAAGTAGTAAGTACTTCTTAAAAAGTAGGAGAAAAACCATCAGGAGTGCCAGAGGTGAAAAGAGTTGCAATTTCAAATAGGGCAGGCAAGGGAAAAAGGCATTTAAGCAAAGTCTTACAAGAAGTAAGGAGTAAGCCATGTAGATATCTGAAGGAAGAATACTGTAGGCAGAAGAAACAAAATCCCTTGTATGTTCTGGAAAAACAGTAAGGAAACAATTATGACTGAAAGAGAATGAGCAAGGGGGGAAGTAAAGAGATTAGAGAAAACGTATGTCATATCATGCAGGGCCTTAGGCCCTTCTAAAGAAGCTTACTGGGAGTGAAATGAGGGAAAGAGAGTTTTGAACAGGAATGAAAAGATCGATTTGCTTTTTTAAAGGATCACTCTGGCTGCTGTGTTAAGAACAGTATTTAACAAGGCAAAGAGGGAAGGACTGGTAAGGAAGCTGTGATGATAATCCGGATTAGAGGCCAAGGCAGTTACAGTTGTGGTGAAAATGGTTGTTGTTTTTTTTTTTTTAAATATACAATTGGCCCTCCATATCCATGGGTTCCACATCCATGGATTCAAACAACCACAAATTGAAAATATTTAGAAAAAAACTGCCATCTGTATGAACATGTACAGACTTTTTCTGTCATTATTCTCTAAGCAATACAGCATAATTATTTACATAGCTTTAAACCGTATTATAAATAACCTAGAACTGACTTAAAGTACTCAGGAGAAAGTGTGTAAGATATATGGAAATACAGATGATACTAAACAACATGGGTTTCAACTGCCCAGGTCCAAATGAGGACCAAAAATACAGTATTGTCTGGATACAAAACCAAGTTACATGAAGGACTGACCCTTTTTTTTTTGGAGACGGAGTTACACTGTTGTTACCCAGACTGGAGTGCAATGGCACGATCTCGGCTCACCGCAACCTCCGCCTTCTGGGTTCAGGCAATTCTCCTGCCTCAGCCTCCCGAGTATCTGGGACTACAGACCCGCACCACCATGCCCAGCTAATTTTTGTATTTTTAGTAGAGATGGGGTTTCACCTTGTTGACCAGGATGGTCTCGATCTATTGACCTTGTGATCCACCCACCTCGGCCTCCCAAAGTGCTGGGATTATAGGCGTGAGCCACCGCGCCCAGCCAGGACTGACTTTTTACATACGCAGGCAGACTTTACCTTTACAGAGCCAATTGGGGAACTTGAGTATGCATGGATTTTGGTCCCCTATGGATACTGAGGGACAACTGTACTCTGAAACAGATTTGCTAGCCAGGCACAGTGTCTCAGGCTTGTAATCCTAGCAACTGGAAAGGCTGAGGCAGAAGGATGGCTTAAGGCCAAGACTCAGACCAGCCTGGGCAACAAGAGCGAAACCCTGTCTCTAAAAAAAATTTTTTTTTTGAGACAGCGTTTC